AAAAAAAATCGGCCAAGTTTTGGTTAATTAAATTTCACGTATATTGGTTTACGATGTTACGTAACTGTATATTCTGTGGAATTCCGAGTTCTTTGAAGGGATTGAATTATGACGTATGGTAAACCTATAAACTTAAACAGAATTACTATATTTTTATTATGGATAGAGAGGTACTTAGAAGGCGCCAGATATAATTATTACTATTATTATTATCTTTTAATTCCGATGTCTAAACCAAAAAAAATCTATATTTCTTTTGTCTCTCTAATTACCTCAAATAACCTAGCCAATTAGTATGCATAATTCCAGCTGAGGATACTCTATAGACTGTTAATAGCAATCTCGCTAATTAATGCAGAACGAAACCCCTAATAATTATTATTACCGGTATCAAATCCCTGTTCATTAGTCCAAAGATCAATCCTCACAGACAGATGTCATTTCCGAGATTCTGCCTGATACCTGACACTTTCCAGATACTGTAGCTTGGAGACAAAGGCAAGCATTATCGCTATGTCCTATTTCTGAACTTATACCTGATACCTGATATTACTTATACTGTAGCTGCGAGACCATTACAAAAAGCTGTGTAGGGCTTCATGTTGCCTGTATAATGCTGTATTAGCTCAACTACAGCATATTCTGCGTATATGTTGTGATATTCAATCGTGGTGGTGGTCGCGTATACACAGGACAAAATGATGTTTGTGTGTTGAGAGGAAACCTTGGAGAGAGAAAGAGAGAGCGAGAGAGAGAGGGGGTAATAAAGAGAGAGAGAGAGAGAGAGAGAGAGAGAGAGAGAGAGAGAGAGAGAGAGAGAGAGAGAGAGAGAGAGAGAGAGAGAGAGAGAGAGAGAGAAAGAGAAAGAAAGAAAGAAAGACAGAGAAGAGAGAGAGAGAGAGGAGAGAGAGAGAGAGGAGAGAGAGAGAACGAGAGAGAGAGAGATGAGAGAGAGAGAGAGAGCGAGAGAGAGAGAGAGAGAGAGAGAGAGAGAGACGAGAGAGAGAGAGAGAGAGAGAGAGAGAGAGAGAGAGAGAGAGAGAAAGAAAGAAAGAGAGAGAAAGAGAGAAGAGTGAGTTTTCGAGAGGGAGAGAAGAAGAGGGGATGAGAAAGAGAGCGAGAAAATGAAAGTAAAGATGAGAGAAAGAGAGAGAATAGAGTTTTTTTTTATTTGTATTAGTTTGATAATGGAGGTAATTATCGTACTAATATAATATAAAATTGAAAATAATATCACTCAATGAAATAAAGAGAAGGACGATGAAAATGAGAACAAAGTGACAAGGAAATTAATGATGATGGTAACCATGAGGATATTAATAACACTAACAGTGATAATGCCAACAAAAATAGCATTGATGATAAAATCACTTGCAACAGTCACGATGAAATGATAAATGAATAGCATGATAAATCAATAGCAATTTACTGATATGGAAATTTCAATGATATGATGAGATTATTAATCTGTATACCTAAAAAAAAGCTCATATATTTGTTACCACCATTCAACATATATGAGTTTACACAAAATCTCGTTAATATCTGTTTAGAATAAAGTTTATTTTGTTTAGGGATTAATTGGCATTTTAGAAAAAAAAGGTATACAATCACGTGCATTTTCCACGTGATGCACTTTTAGCTTTGGATCCAATCCGCCAACTGCTCGAACGCTTTTTTTTTTTTTTTTTTTTTTTTTTTTAGAAATACGTGTAAACAAAAGAGGAGAAAAATTGTATTTATCAAAAAGAACACATAGACCCGACCTTTTCCAATGAAAACGGTACTGCCGGTGCTGTTGTTTTCTTTTTATCATGGAATATCGTATGTACGGATTTTGTTTGTTTTTTGTTTGTTTGGGAAGGATTTATTGATATCAAATAGGAACAGGCAGTTGTTAAAGCTATTCTGGTCAACACGGATACTGTATATTGTGTGTGTCGTTGGTAGGCCGACAGTGAATATGGGTTTATGTGTTTTAATTTATTCGGAAAATATGCTTATGCATATTTAAAGTACATGCATACAAAATATATGTGTATACATATATATAAGATACATGTATGCAAGATATGTATGTTTACACATTCACACAAGTATTCAATCGTACACATACACACGATTATATACTCAAGCACACACACACACACACACACACACACACACACACACACACACACACACACACACACACACACACACACACACACACACACACACACACACACACACACACACACAACATTCCAACAGGTAAACAAATCACGCAGGAGAAATAGACACCTGTAAGCACCTGACACCTTTTTTTTTAATAACTTTTTTTTTTATTAACATTTTTCTTTTTTTTTGTATTATCATTATCTTTAACCTTTTTTTATTTTAAAACATTTCCTTTACCTATAAAAAAAATTCTCTTTATCATCCTTTTCTTTTTCCTTTTTTTTAAACATTTTCTCTTTTTTTTATTAATCCTTTTCTTCTCTTTTCTCCTTCTCCGCAGTTCTGCACGCATCCCGAAACGTCGGATAAGGTCAACTTCCCGACCTTCGCAAGGACCCGACCGCCCGACACGCAGATTAGCAAGTCGGTCACGGCTATTCTCAAGCGTTTCAACTGGAGGAAGGTAAGGGGAAAAAAAAAGAAGAAAAAAAGTTGGGGGTGAGGGTGGAAGGAGGGGGGAGGGAGGGAGGGAGGGGGGGGAGGGAGGAGGGGTGGGGAGTGGGTTGGGGAGGGAGGAGGAGGGAGGGGTGGGGGGAAGAGTTGGGGTGGAGGGGGGTGGGGGAGGAGGAAGGGGTGGGGAAGGAGGGGTGGGGGGGAAAGTTGGGGTGGAGGGGGTGGGGGAGGAGGAGAGGAGGTGGTGGGTGGAGGGAGAGGGGAAGCGTGGGGGGGGGGGTTGGAAGGTTGGATGGAGGGAAGGGAGGAAGGAAGGGATTAGGGAGGGTGCGGTTAGAGGGAGGGGAAGAAGGAGGGGCTGGGGAGGGATGGAGGGAAGGAGAAGAGGATGCAGGGGAGGGGAGGAGGGAGGGGAAGGGGAGGAAGATGGGGAGGGGAGGAAGGAGAGGCTGGGGAGGAGTCGGGGAGGGATAGAGGGACGGGTGAGGGGTGGGGAGGAGGCGGAAGGGGGAGGGGGGGGAGGTATATTGGAGGAGTGGAGACAGACACCCACGGACCCCCTCCCCCCCCCCCATTCCCAGCCCGTCCACACTCACAGAAGAGCAGAGAGAGAGAGAGAGAGAGAGAGAGAGAGAGAGAGAGAGAGAGAGAGAGAGAGAGAGAGATTGATAGAAAGATAGATAGTTAGAGAGAGAGAGGGGGGGGGGGAGACCAGAGCATCCCTTCCACATCCAGCTCTGCCTTCGGTGTCGGACCTCAAGGCGAGCATCACGTGTCTCCGGCGCTCGATCTCTGGCCTTCTCTCGAGTGATTGCCTCTTCTCTTCTTCTCTTTTCTGTTTTCTTTTCTCTTTCTTTTCTCCTTTTCTGTTGGGAGGAAAATGGGAGGAGGAAGGAAGAAGAGGTGGATAGAGGAGGAGAAAAGAGGAAGTGAAAAGAGGAGGAAGTTTAAGGATAATGAAAGAGGAGGTGGAGGAAGGGGAAGGAGGAGGAAGGAGGAAGTGGAAAGAAGAAGAGGAAGGAGAGGGAGGATGAAAAAGGAGGTAGAGGAAGGAGAAGGAGGATAAAGGAGGAGGAGAGGAAGGTTGGAAGAGGCGGAGGGGAGTAAAAGAGGAAGAGAAGGAGAAAGGGGAAGAGGATGAAAGAGGATGAAAAGGAAAGGAAAAGAGAGGAAGATAGTAGAGTGGAGGAGGTGAGAAAGATGGAGAAAGATGGAGAAAGTGGAGGAGGAGGAGGAGGAGGAGGAGGAGGGATAGGACAGGGGGATAGGACAAGGAGGAGGAGGAGGAGAAAGAAGGAGGAAAGGATGATAATAATAAAAATGAGGAGGAGGAGGAGGATAATGGGGAGGAGGAGGGGCAAAGAGGAGAATAGAGAGAGGAGGAGGGAAGAGAAGATGTTGGAAAAGGGGGAGGAGAAAAATGAGGAGTAAGAGGAGGAGGAGAAAGAAGGGAAAGGAGGGAGAAGGGGTAGGAGGAGATAGAGAAAGGAAAAAAAGGAAAAAGAAGGAGGAGGAGGAGGAGGAAAAGGAGGAGGAGGAGAAAGAAGGGAAAGGAGGGAGAAGGGGTAGGGGGAGATAGGGAAAGGAAAAGAAGGAACAAGAAGGTGGAGGAGGAGGAGGAAAAGGAGGAAGAGAAGGAGAACGAGAAAGAGGAAGTGGAAGAGAAAGAGGAGGGAAACAGAAAGGAGTTTAGGAGGAAAACGAAACAGGAGAAGAAAGAGGAGAAGGAGACAGAGAATAAGAGAAAGAAGACATGATGATGAAGAGAACTTGCATAACGTAGGTAATTGATAATGATAATGACACTAAAACGAAGATAACGACACGATGGACAATACGATCAATAATGACGAAACAAAAGATAATGATGGCAATGAAAGTTATAATTATCATAATAATGCTTCAGAGGTTCGTTTTAAACCCCTTTCTTACAGCAGAGTCCGTGCTCTTCCGGATAAACATGTCTTCTGTTGTGATTCTTCTGTGGAGAGAGATCTTGAAGACGTTCATTGTTATCTTATCTTAGTTCCCAGTTTTTATAACGAGACTGGCTTTTTTAATAGATTTTTCTTTTTTTTTTTACTTTTTTATAATCTATGGTAGCTTTTTCCTTTATCTTTTTTTAAAGCTCTATTAAGATTTTTTTTCTAAGTCATTTAAGCTCATTTTAAAGATTTTAAAAGCGCTTTCATCTTTATGAAGCCTTTTTAAGCGGTTTTCATTCTTTATTCCCAGATGAAAGCAGCCCAATCAGACGGTATTGATATATCTATTAATGATACCGTCTCATTCGTACCTTTTATTTTTATTTTTTGTTATTATTCATTTATATACATTTTATTTTCTTGTCTGTCTGTCCAAGCAAGACTGGGTTGTTTCCCTCGGTG